TTTTTCTTAATAATCCTTTGTCAGAATGATAAGTAAATAAAATTATAATTTAAAGAATTTATCTGAACTTATCCATCTGCCTTTCTATTGAATTAGCAACTGCCTTGCTATATGTAGAATGTGTGTCTATTTCCTGCAATCAGTATGCTAATTTATTTTCCTCTATCTGATTTAGGACTAATAATGGAAAGGGTAGGAGAGAGGGGATGTTAGAAGATCAGAGGGAGAGGAAGATGGAAAACATTTTTGAGGTTCCTCAGAAAAAAATATTATGGGGAAAATAATGACAGCAGTAACAAGATTATTTCTAACTTATTCTAGTTTCTTGAATAGGAATACTATATTCTAATTTAACTTAATGAGAAAAATCAAAATAATGAGGAAACTATCACAAGTTTCTAAATCACAACAAACTAAAATTCAAAACTCAGACGTGCTAAAAGGACTCAGAAACTCAAGTTTCCTTACTGAACTAAACGTCCTGTCATTTACAAGTCTTAGGTAGTTTTGCATCATCATCCACTTGCACGGACTGTTTATGTCAAATGCAATAATCATCTAATCCAAAAGAACATCAGACATTGGACAACCTTCTTGACAAGATGCAGAGTGAGACTATTGCCGGAAGTGGTTATGATAATTGTCTCCAATAGCTATAATCTTGCTTGTAGTCAGCAACATATAATTGGACCTAATGTGCTTATATGATTATGGGTAAACAAAGCAAGAAACTCAAAATGGTTTGTGATAAATCAACCATGTCAAAATGTCATGACCAGAACCCATGTCATGACTAGAAAATGGGTAGACTTAAAGCCACCAATACCATGATAAGCCTTGGAATTTTCTAACTAATTCATACAAAAAGTATAATATTCTCATATATAATAATATCTAATCAACAAGGGAAATATCATTAAACAAGAAGTCACGTCTTACTTATGTACACTGCCATTATCAGTTTGTCTTATTGCCCCATATTACATGGTCATTAAAAAGCCTTATTGAAGGGATATACTCATTATACGCCTGGTATATATATATATATATAAATATTGATGTAAGACATGATCATACTTCCTTACTTAATGCTCCTTGCCAAGGAATCCTTGATATCTTCTAGGGTATATTAGTAGAATGGTACTATTTTCCCTTGCCAATCTCATCCTCAAAATGCTACTATATAATTGCAACTATGGAATAACCAGAAAATTAAGGGTGGATCATCTCTGATTTAAAAAATCTATCTGAACTTATCTA